CCAACCAACCAACCAACCAACCAACCAACCAACCAACCAACCAACCAACCAACCAACCAACCAACCAACCAAATAAATAACAGAAAAATTAAAATATCCCCAGAAAAGGTCAAATTCTACTTAAAGATGCCTACGGATTCTAATGGAGCAATTGTACCGATGCAAAATCCATCCAAAGAAAATAACATTAATAAAATAAAATCCACGATAGAAACCATAGTGACAGCTAAACGTCAGAATCCCTATAGAACAGCTCCATCTTTAACATCTTCTAGAATGAGCAAGTCTGATTTTGGGAGGGGGTGTAACTGAAAAGTGATGCCTCTGGGGGAGAATTGCATGCGAGAAGATTGAAATCTTTTGGCTTTGTATGTGAGAATGCTGACACCTTCTCATTCTTTGGCCTTCTCCACTAAAGGCTTGCAAAACTGGAAGAACGTAGCATGCAGCTGTGTGCTTGGCGTGGCACTAACTGCCTCTATCATGAGATAGAACCTTCCCCAAAGATACATTTTTGTGGTGGTGGTGGGAAGACAGTGCTGGATTTGGCCCTTTCTGGAAATTGTGGAGGCATTTTCCTAGTGCTCTGATTAAATGCTCTGAAAATGTTGAGCTTTTGGGGGGATCCTTATCTTACTGGGTCCTTATTTGTCTCTAAAACACAACTCTTAATTGTTGAGTGTCTGGATACGTTTGATTGGAATATATTTGATTGGAATGTTGAAGAAAGGAACCTACATTCTTGCTGGTATGACATAGCCTTCCTTTGTTAACCATGCTGGATAAAAGGAATGCTTTATAAGCTAGGCTTCTTTTGGTGCGTTATTTACCTTGTGGCAAGGGTGTAACCAAATGGAGAGGTAGGGGGGAAATGTTTCTTGAATGACAAAGGAAGCCTATATTTTACAAGTGGCTTCATTATGAATGCTTGAAGGAACAGGTGAATCTGTAAGTAAACCAGAGATCTAGCTGCACTTCTACCGTCCTTTTTGTATGAAAATGCTCGGAAAGCAGAGGAGGGAGTGCAAGAAAAGAAGTTCCAGGGATGGGACTGGGTGGATGGACCAAAGCAAAAAGGATCTTACACATTTGAATTATCCTTAGCAGCGGTGGAGAATGTGTAGCCAGATCTACCAACTGACAGATCCCAGTCTTGTTCACCATTGGCCCAAGCTGGCTGGGGCAATTACAAGTTTTGGTTCTCCAGAATCTGGAAGTCCATAGGTATCTCACCACCAGGTATAAATACTGAGAGCGGTCAGTTCTAACAAAACAGCTCAGGAGGAAATCAGTAACACTGATTTATTGGTTTGAGTAGCACATCACATTAATCCACAATGTCATTTGTTCCTTTTTTTTTTTCTTAGTATATTGCCTGAGCCCAGGCCATTATGGTTTATTTGATAGACCACAATTAGGCACATAGCATCATATGAAATGTGAACCTTGTTACTGCCTTGATCTGCATGAGTTTAACTAGAGCTAAAATAGTGGCTTTCAAAATCTATACAGAGATGATGATGGGATTTTCTTGTAACTCGGTGAAGAAAGTAATCTTCTTAATCCATATACCCTGGCTGCAAAATGAAGCTGCAGAGAAATGTGGAAACCGTTCCTTGGTTGGCTTACCGGGTGCGGAACAAGAGCTTGCAGAGTTGGGCAGTGCCGAGAAGAGAGACAGTTGTGTGCTGACACATTCTCTCCCAGAATCCCTTGTACCTTACCCAGAATCCTTGTAATTGACCGCAGCACTGTCTCCCAGAATCCTCTGCAACAACTTGTAGGAACACTCTTATCCCAGAATTCTTCATAACATGCAGAAGAGGTTGCAGCTAGGTTGGCATGGAAAGCTGACCCACCCTGTTGCTGAATGCTTGATAACCTCTGGGTTGAACTGTTGAGCTTGTTAAGCGTTCCTTTCATGGGAAGTCAGGATCCAAAAGCCTTCATTTTCCAATACTGTGCTTATTTTTTTTCCTTTTCTCCCTCCTTTTTTCTCATTATTTCTCAACCTTGGATGAGAGCTGTGGAGTGCCACCCAGTGGTCACTGCAAACCTACCCATCACCTTTTACTAATGATCCCAAAGATCTCCTCCCCATCCCTGTTACTTTTCAAAGGAACAAAAGAAGCTGGGTTTCTTGAGCTGTATGGAAAATGATCCTCCCTCTGTTAAAAAATATGAATTCTTTCTCAGTTTCCCAGAAAACATCAAAATAATTGTGATAGTTATGACTCAGGTTAGCAGGGATGCCAGCATTCTTAACAGTTTAAAGACATGGGAAGCCACCTGCAGAATTGCGTATCTTCAGGAGGGGGCACCATATACGCTTGCAGACATCATCTTGGTGCCTTTGAGGCTCCTTGGCCTGTATGGGCTTCATGGATTTATTTTTGAAAGGAAGACAGGCATTCTCTGACACAAAGGGCCATCCTCCAGAATCCCCTCATTTCACAAAACCCTTTGGGCCTCACAGAGTTCCATAAGCATTATTAGAAAATAAATCTGCTGAGCTTTTGTTCAGCGTTCTGTTTCAAAGCATGCCTGGAGAGTTGGAGACCGTGACTTCTGCTAATTGAGGGCTTCATGATTGGCCAGTCCTTTGTGGCAACCCTTTTGGGCTGAAACAAGTGACTGCCCTCCCACAGCAGTCATTTTGTGAAAGTGGCACGGCCTCTCAAAACTCCTAAAAATGTCCACTGCTCTGCTCTCAAAATGCTAGATACATCTACAGGTCCAAAAAGATTGTCCGTCCCTGGCTTAGTCCTTCCTTACAACACCTCATTCTTCTGTAACTTAATGTTCTCACCTTCCCAAGTTAACAGAGGTTAACAGATACATCTGTAACCCACAGAACCAGGATTTGAAATAGCAATGAGTATTTGTTGAGAGCTATAGCAAAATGTTGCAGTATATCCTCACCCTTTAAATTTAGGGTGCCAGCTAGCCAGCCATGCCTTTGGGAGGATGCTGAAAGTTGATAGGGTAGCCTTTCCCCCCAAAATGTGTGGACTTCAATCCTCAGGACTCAGGAAAGACCACACTGGTTGAG